TTGACCATATATCTTTGATGAAACAAAAGAAACGATCACTCTCACCACGCTCCCTGACCGTTTAACGGTCACTCGCCAACGGTGATTTAGAGGAATTCCGGAAAGTGTTTCGTGAAACAGGCTATTTTTGCCAGCACTTTAGATGAAAACTGAAGTGAAGCTTGTTGGGTGAGACCATCATCTATATAGGTTCGAGCACTTGCCGTGCTCTTCCACCGACCGAGGATCAGGATGTTTTCGGTCGGCCATCCCTGCCGGTAGAGGGAGGTTGCCCCTCCCCTCCTCAAGCTGTAGGGCCTGAACCCCAGGCCTCCTACGTTGAAGTGATCAAGCAGGAGGGAGAAGCTCTCTCGAAACTTTTGGGAAGAAAGCTGCCAAATATATGCGTCCTCTTCACCACGCGTCCGGAGAAAGGCCTTTATGACCGCAAGGGCTTGTGGCTGCCTAATGACAACGTGCTCTTGACGATTTTCACGATTTCCTGTCTTTGTTTCAGCTAAATAGACCAGGGCACACCCAGATGAAAGTTGGAGGTGCTTGCATCTTAAGGTCATGAGTTCCCCCGTCCGGAGAAGGGCGAAGTAGCCCAAACAAAGGAGTAGTAGAAAGTCTAGAGCACCGCTTTTAAGGCAGTAACCCATCATTGCACGGAGGAGATTTGGCGGCAACGGGGTCGCCTGGAGGTTCCTCTCAACCTTCTTCCATACCTTAAACATGTGCCATGCTTGACTGAGACGTCGGCGCAGGACAGGAACAAACATCTGAAGTCCGCAGAGGAAGTCACTGATGTGTCCTATTGACTCCCCCTCCTCAAATGCATATTCAATATACTCTGCGATATCAAGATCTAGCATGGCAATGGAGGAAAAGTTGGTGGTGAAGTCCCAGGCATTGAGACCCTTCACAAGAGCCTTCTTGTACCTGCGGATTGTTGCCTGCTTGACAGCCAGCTCTCTAAGGGAGAGGCCTCGCCTCTCTTCTCTTCTCTCCTCAGTGTTTCTCCTCTTCAGCCTCTGTCTAACTCCGGGAGGCATCATCCGTGGGGTTGTTCATACTGTCGACGTGACAGTACATCACCATGGCGTTGGCCATCAAGACCAGTGCACCGATCTTCCGGACTACGTGTTGTAGTGCCTTGCTGGAGGTTCTCCCCTTGCAGAGGATACTTATGCTCACTGCGCTGTCGCTCAACTGTAACAGGCGCATGTTGCCAAGCTTACCCCTCTCTAGTCGCCACTGCAAGGCCAACAATATGCTTCGAAGTTCCAAACAATTGATGTGCTCGTGGCGATCCCATTTTCGTGCTAGGGTGATTTTCCACTCCCAGAGGTCTGAGGGGATAGCTTGCCGAGGGTAAACTTTAGGACATGTGGGGATTCCTGTACTTATCCTAATATCGCTCCCGGTATGGGTGGTCCTCCGGGCCAACTGACGAACCAGCGACTCCTCCTCTCTCTCAGTCTCCCAACACTCATCCCACGTCGATCCGAACGGACGGGTGGTACCGATTGGTGTGAGCCTCTGTATATGAGTGCAAGCGCCCGGCCAAAGTCCTAGTCGATCTCGGTAATGTTGTGCAGTTTGCAGGGGAACCCATTGTTGGCATGCTTGAGCACTAAAATACCAGAAGGTGTTCACAGGGAAGCTGTCCCCCAACAAAGAGAGTCTCTCGTCCTCATACCCACGTTTAGTGGATTTAGCTGCTGAAGCTGACATGGCCGGGAGCGTATGCCCCCAGCCGTATCCAAGCAACTGTTCTCTTTCGGTGGCGACTAGGTACCTGAGACTACCTGAGATGGTGTCCTCGATCATATAGGCGTCCTTATATTGATAAGGGGGGAACCGGAACTGGTCCTGTCGCCAACGCATGAGCTCGTCTGCGGTACACCGGTGCACTCCTACTGGGCGCTCAGGAGGTTTGTCCCTGGGGATGGCTCTCATACATGTGGGGTAGACTACTGGACCTCTATATTGGGTGCAACCAGGTTGAATCCAATCGGTGGGCCACTCAGCGTCACAAACGAAGTGCACTTGCGTGAACCCTTCTTTGTCCTCTCTCCACATGCTGTCCGTGTCCGTGGGCTCCATGTTTGTCCACACGAAGCGTGGTCGGCTGAGTGGGACCAGTGCTTCACTGTCCACTCGCAGTGGCCAGAGGCCCAACTCCCAGGAGATCAAGTCACGAGCCTCTTTATCCATGGAGCATACGTTCTCTGCGAAGATCAGCGTCTTGAGGTGATTCCCCACAGAGCGCACCAATCCCCAAATTCGCTTGAGCTCGTAGAACAACCCAGAGTGTTCACCTTTTAGGTTTGCCCTCCTGTGTTTGGCGCTGCTCAGATCCTTGCAGGGGAAGCCACCCCACAGGTGAATCTGCTCTATGGCTCCTGCTCGAGTGACCCACTGTCTGATGTCATCTTCCGAAACCTGGGTGACATCATCCACCTCAACTATCTCCGGCCAGCGGCGCGAGCTCACGCGGCGTGCTGGTCGGTGGATCTCGATGCTTACGTAGAGTTGAGGTCGAACACCAGCCACATTATATGCTCTCATGCACCCCCCAATACCATCGAAGCAGGAAATAACTAAGATTGGTATAGTAGGCCCTTGACGTTCCGGATCAGCTTCATAATTAAGGAAGTCACGTCCAAGGTCAGTCAGTCCAGTGCTCATCCCCACAGCGCCCCCCTTCATGGATGAATCACTTGCTCCAACTGTTCCGCAAGGCCGTGTGGTGAGGTCAGTGTGGAAGAGGAGAGCACCAAAACAGGCAGTGAGCAACTCAAACCTGGCTTGCCATTCCCGTCTACGTTTGCCCAATGAGAAAAAGTCCCAAACGGCTACGAAGTGAGACATGGCCGGTCGACGAAACTGCAACACATGCATCCACCGTCCCATAGTGATTTGCAGAGTCTTTGCCCTCACGTTCGGGCGAAATGCAAGCCACAAGCTGAGCTTGACCACTTTCAGAAGCCGGTGTGTGTCGACTCCTAGCCAGCCGTCCTCTCCATGAATCTTTGCGCCCAGCTCAGTCGCCTCAGTGGCACGGTGGGTGCTTTTGGCTGCAGCCGTGACCACACCCCTAGCATTCCAGCCTGCCTCTGCAGTTCTGTGAAGTTGGCCTCCTAAGGTCTCTTCATGTGGACCCGCCACACGCTGTCCTGCGGCAAAGTTGTCCAAATAAATATGCCAAAAGGGTTCAGCTTCCCGCTTTGCATCCTCCATCAACTCCGTGAAGCCCTTCGGCAGCTTACTCACTCGGTTGACTATATTGGAGCAGGATAAACCACTGTCTAGCAACAGCCTTTCAGCAGCTTCTTCCATGAGACCGACGGCACTATGCCATCCCATGGGCAGGACATTGGCGCACAGCACATACTTTTCATCAGGAAGAAAATCTGGTCCCAGCTGCTTGCCATTCGTCTCAATGTTGAACGGGAGGATGCATTGCCAAATAGGAGGGAGACGGAAAAGGTAAAAGGCAGAGGAAATGTCCGCTTGGCTGGTTTCAATCTTCTCTCCTTCTCCTACAAAAATAGTTCCCCACTGTGTGATGGAAGGAAGTCTATGGACCGAGCCCTCGATAACTCTGAAGAGGCTGTTTGTTGGAACAAGGTTCATGATAACACGCAGAATCGGTTTTCCGTTCACGGTTTTGCCCGGTTTAGCAACTCCAAACAATCCGTTCCTAACAGGCATACCTCGAAAAGTTAGGGTGTCAGTGCTTCTTCGCCACACGCACACTCTTCGAGCCACGAGTAGCTTCGCCACTTCAAACCTCTCGCCCTCCTTGATATGAACACGCCCCTTCAGGTTCGGCAGGTCTTGTCCATGGTCTTGCAACTTCAATCTCTCGGGATGACGAAGCAATTCACGTGTCGAATCTGTCAGCCAGTCTTCCAATCGGATCGAAGCACCACGTTCAGCCGAGGGGAGAGAAGGGGCGATCTGCTCAACACTTAACTTTTCCAGTTTGCCTATCTCCTCACCTGCATAGCCTATCTCCTTACTAGCTAGCTCCTCTTTGATTTCTGCTACCCCCCAGGTAGGGTGACCATGATCATCTCTTAACATAACCTCAACTTGCCTCGAGATGCACCTAAGGCATTCAACTTGTGCCTTTTGCAGGTTCCCCTTCCTAAAGCCCAGGTCACCCCCATGAAGGTGCTGACAGAACTTCACTGAAAGGAGGACCCACGAATCCACGTAATCGGCCGGCTCCCAAAAAGTTTCGAAGAAAATATCATCGAACAACGACCCTCGAAGCTTCACCTCCAGACGACTCCAAACGAAAGGGAAGGGAAAAAGCGAACGATGCCTCTTCCCAAGCTGCTCGCAGCCACTATTTTTCAGGAAACGGCCGAGGTTCTTCCATAGCCATGCCTTGCATAGCCCGGAGCGGATGCCCTCAAACAAGATCCAAGCCAGGCCCAGTCCTAAAGTCTTCAGGGAGGTGACCTGGCACAGGCGGTCAGCAACCTTCTCTCCTCTGCTGCCATCCTCTATGATCCTCTCTGGCATCCTCAAACCATCCTCTGGCTTCTGTCCTGTGCTCATACCATCATAGCGACCCACACCCTTGCATGGGTCTGGCTCCTCAAGGCCGAGCTGGGGCTTCGGATCAACAGCCACTGTAGGGCCAGTCTCAGGGGCTCTTGAAATCACTCTCACAGTGCAGCCTCTGTCCTCGCCTCTGTCGTCTCCCAAGCCTCTCTCAGCCTTAGGTGTCATGCACTCCTTATCCGAATTATCTCGCTTGCGCCGCTTTGGCGCCCTCACTTCTCCTCCTCGTGGTCCCCTTTCGGGGCGTCCTTCCCTGCCTTGGTCTTCTTGCCATCTTTGTAGCCCTTCTGGTTCTTCTCTTTTCCTCCTTTCTTGCCTTTCTCTCCCTTTGCCCAGCGCCACGGAGCTCCACCTCCGCCATAGGGCGCCCAGGGTCTGCCGCCTCCTTGTCCTTTCCCTTTTCCTTCTGCTCCATGAGCTCGGGCTATCAACTGTCCATGTTTGCGGGCTTGAAGTTGAAGTTCTGCCGGTGCCACCAACTCCTCCTCCGGTGTGCAAACCTCGAGGAAACGGGCCATAGCCCAGCCCTCGGATATGGCCGATTCCACGGCCATGAAGCGACCGGCCAAATAGTCGAGCGCTGAGAGGAGGTGGCCTGACCTGATTCGATCGATGGCGCTTCCGAGCAGATATAGCTCTCGCATGGCTGGCAGGAAGGCACCGTGTCGAGGTCGCAGGGTGATCTGCCAGTAGCTTGTCACCCGTGGTCCTGCAGTGAGGAGTTGATCTCTCTCCACATGAAGCTCCTGCAGCTGTTGGGCGATCTGGGTCAACAATAGCTCTGCCACACTGCCTGGTTTCTTCCCCGCTTTTCGTTTCAGCGGCGCCTTGAACTTCCTCGTGAACCTCTCCTCTGAAGAGCTTGACTCCTCGTCCTCTGAATCCTCGGAACTGGAGCTCCCTGAAGGGTCGCTGTCTCCGTCGCTGTCCGGCGGGCCCCCGCCTCCTTCTCGACTGCCTCTGTCCTCCTTCTTCTTCTTCTTCTTCTTTTTCTTGCTCATCAATGCACCCTTCAGAGCACGCAGGATCTTGTCTCCCTTTCCTTTCTTCTTCTTCTTCTTGTCGCGCTTCCTTGACCCTTGCGCACCAGCACCGCTCCCCGAAGATGTAGCAGCTGCAGCTGCCAACTCCTCTTGCGGGCTCTTGGCTCTCTTGCCACTCGAAGAACCTCCTCTTGGCACCTCGGACTCGGCTTCCAGGATGGCTGATACCTTGGAGGATGGTGGTTCCAACCCCAGGGTCAAGGGTCCCGGGCTCTTTCTTCCACCCATGTCCGCTGCAGAGCTTGATGTCTTTGGCTTTGATATAGGCCCGGTACCAGGCTCCTCCTCCCGCCTCAGGTCTCTCGCGCTCTGCTCGGTGAGCTCCTTCCTCAGATCCTTCAACGCCTCTCCAACTCCTACAGCCTTTCTCTGCTCTGCGCCTCGGGCCTCTCTGCCTTGCTCCTTCCTCTGCCTCTTCCTCAGCTGCTCCTCCTCTGCGCCGGCATTCTCCTCCAGGTCCATGAACAGCGGGGAAGCGGCAAACGAAACTCTCCTTGAAGCATGCGCCTCCGTGCCAAGCCCTCTCTCTCGGCCTCTCTCTGCCTGCAGGCCTTCTGCATCCTCTGTCTCCTCTGCGCTGCCTCCTCTTCTCTTGCCAACTCCTCTCAGGGCCCCTCTCCGCTCTCGCCTGGGTCCTCGTTCTCCGGACGTGGACTCCTCTGCAGCCTCTGGGGTTGAACTCACATCTAAACCTAAATGCTCCCAGACGAGTTGCACCCAACGTCGAAGTCCTGTGTGTCCAAGCTGTGTCCGATCCATGGCGTCTCCTCGCGACAGGGCCACACGTTGAACATGACTCAAATAGTTTCCTGGTACCTGACAGGACGGGGAGTTGCAAAAGTGGACCCAACCAAGGGTCTTGGAGAGCTGGGTGACCTTCCGGGAGACCTGTGGGTCGAGTGTACCTAGCGAGACGTACTCGGCCGAAACGCTCCCATCGATGTCCACCCACCTTTTCGTGATGAACAGTGGACAAACCACCTCCTTGTCGTCGACTCTCAGGGGCACAGCGGCTATGGTCCCAGCCTGAACCTGCATCATGGACCATCTTACCGTGTCAGCAATGTCGAACTCGCCGTAACCTTCTTCCTCAGCCTCTGCGCCTTCTCTTGCGCTCTCGCCCATCATCTCCTCGCTCCTCCTTCTTCCTCGGCCTCTCCTCTGCTGGCCTCTCGCGGTCTCCTCGATGCCTCTCGTGCTCTCCTCCGGCAGCCGTGTGCGTGCTGGCTGAGGTTCCCTCTGTCCCGGACCTGTTGTTGCTAGAAAGGCCCAGTCCTGGAGCTGTCCTGCCCTGCCTTGCCTGCTCTGCCCTCTCTGCTTGGGCGTGCGCAACGTCCCTCAAATACTCAACTGTGTGCAGGCAGGTCTCGAGCAGGTAGACCGTCAAGCTCGCGTCCAGCTCCCCAAGAGGGACAAACCTCAGCTCGCCAGCCAGCCTCCTTAGAGCGATGCAGCCCCTGCAACACCCGGAAGGATCAACGAAGAAGATCCTCCCACAAGTGCTGCAGGCTGGCATGGCACACGGCGCCCCCGAACCCAGGAGCTTGAGGACAAAAGGGCCAGCATCGACAGCCATGCCCTCAACTCAAGAGAAAAATGCGTCACCGCAAAACCATGGCCACCTGTCATTCGAATCACAACACGGGTCAAGCTGGCCCCTTTGCTCGCCCCTTTGGAATCGAACCTCCGTTTCGGCATGGCAAAGAGATCTCCGGGCGACTTGACCCAATGACAAGGTAGACGACCAAAGGAGACCCCACCCGTGACTACTGCAACAGGTCCGGTCGGACCGAAAAGGCCCCGATGATCCGAGAACGTCTCAGAGAAAGTCTCCGTACTTTGACCCGGCCTGGAGCCTGGAGCCTGTGACCCCGGGAGCGAGGATCAACGATCCAAGTCATATGGGTCGAACTTCCTATCAAAACAGAGGTCAGTCAGGCTCTAGGTGTGTGTATATATATATATATATCAAGTGATTTCTCTTCCAAAGCTCCCAGCTCAGCATACCTTCTTGGGGATTACTGAGCGCTGATGCTCTTTTTTCGGTGCTCTGGAAAAGACGTCTCTCTGAATAGCTCGTCGCCGAAACCACTTCGCCTGATCAGCAAAGGCTCATCTGACCTGGCTCGTTTTTGGGACGGCGAAGAACCTCGACGGCCGTGGACGGCCGTGTCACCGATATATGACTGGTGGAGAATGACGGAATGATGACTGGTGATCGATTTCTTTGGATCCATTCCTCACTCATTCCTCACTGCTTGCACCAGTCAGTCATATTTTCTTGGAGCTGTCACACTGGCCACCCGAATCATATCATATCAGTACTAGCGAGAGGAGAGCGCAGCAAAAACGGGTTCCTTGGCTGAGGCTTAGCTGTGCAGGGCAGCTCGCATGTTGCGCAACATGAACCAATACTTTCACCACACTCAAACCAAGACTCAGCCAAATCATGCCAAATCTATATATGTCGTAACAGTCAACCAGATCTCAGGTCTATTGCATTCGACCTCCGCTTCAACCACGGAGATCCACCAGACCAAACATCCACCCGAACCCCCGAAAACCGCCCACCGCCGGCCATTTAAGGGGGCTTCGGGCCAGAGCGAATATATTAATTATATATGATATTATATGTATATATTCTATATACACGTAGATTCGGGTTGCAGGATGCAGGTGCACCAAACATCGCAAGCCGATGGAAAAAATGAAAAAAAAAATCCTGCTCCTCTTCTTGGCTGCAGCAACGTATCTTATATAAATGTATTTCTCTATGTCAAGTAAGTCCTGTGAGACATAGAGACTTCATGAGACCTTACTGTACATCCAGTACAGACTCCAAACTCCTATAAGACAGCTCTAGAGACTCAAGTCAAATGTTGAGAAGGCCCCAAAATAGCATGTCCACAAAAGGGCGAACAGCTCTCATCTCCAATCCGGGACCATCCCAACTCCCGTTCCAAGTTCGGCCTCTCACGCAAGCGTTCGAAGTCGTCGTAGCTTTGCAGAAACGATCCGTCCACACAACGGAGCTGCCCAAAGCCTTTCCATGTGCAAAGGTGCAAAGGAAGGTCACGAAGTCACGCCCTTTTCCAAGGGTAGTAACCACGGATAAACCACGGAACCCCGAACGCAGGAGAGAAACTCCTAGTTGGCCAACGACTTCGAATTGGTGTCTGCTTGGGTATGAAAAAGAATCGCCTCTCTTTGGCTGAAAAGCCTGGCCACTGCTTACCCAAAAAGAACACCAGATGAACGTGCCAAAGCGACCGTCCCTCACGAAGGAACCCGCACAAGGAACGACCCGGCGACCGGTGACCGACCCCGCGACGAACACGGAACACCTGGAGACGTCGGTCGATAGAGTTCACCCTCCTGTTCATCAAGGACAGTCGTCTTCCTTTTTGTCTACTGGCCATCCAGGTAACCCATGTGTTCTGTGTTCGTCCAAAATGTCGGTCGGAAGGAGAAGCACTTCTTCTTCACCTCTCTGCCGCCACTCTCTGTCGCGGCATAGGTCGTGACTAAGAAGTACGTGGGGCCCGCAACGACTCATTACTCTAGTCTTCCGGCGCTCAAGAACCACTTCTCTTTGCTTTGCATTGCTGCTCCAGAAAAAGTCATGGGAAGAAGTGATCATCCCCTGGACTGAAACCTCGTGAGACAGCCATAGCCCCCATCACCAAATCTGTTACAATCTTGAACGGAAACCCTCACGGCTTCTGTGCACCTTTCTGCAATTGCTGATCTTTGCCCAAGAGAATCTGATAAGGTAAACCACATGGACAACTCTGACAACTCTCCGCTCCAGAAAAAACTTAGCAACAGCTTAGCACTCCTTCCTTGCTGTCTGTTCTCTGGTCTCTTCTCCATACTTCGCCTCTAATCGCCTCCAGCCTCCAGACGGGTGGCTGTTCCTCTCCTGCTTGGAACCCAGCTCCCTTCCAACCAACCGCACCCGTGCGATGTCCCACGAGGTCCGGCAGGGCCAACACCAGGCGCCCACGCCGAAAGAGGCATCGGCGCGGTACCGCATCGGAGAGAGTGGACCGGACCGGAGGGGATTGAAGGATCGAAGAAACAGGTCCGTTGTGCCTTTCACACCCATTTTTTCTGAGCACAGGTGTTGTTCCGAGTTACGCGTTCGGTGGGTTTCACCTCCCAAAATGTGGGCGTGGCGAAACATTCGGGGCCATCGATTCAGAGATGAAGACGTCGGGTATCTTTGGGGATCTGATTTGGACCTACGATTCTGGAGTGCGAAACACCAATCGCACGAGTCTGGAAAGGAAAAGCGTGCCTCCTGGATAGGAGAGTCACAAAAAACAAGATCTAATATTTTATTTGTTTATTTATCGAATGTACTTTCGGATGACTATGCATGAGGGAATCTCTCTCTCAAAGCCGAAGCATTGGCCTTGTTTCGGACCCAAATAGGGGTCGTGTTTGAGTCCACAATTGGGGCGTCGGGCTGGAGATAGTCGTGGGGCTCCCGGCCGGTTGAAAACGGCAGGAACGAAAAAAGGAAGTCAAAGGGATCAATGGTGCTAAGTATATAAGGGGTTGAACATCAAAACATCTCAAAAGAGCACCAACCCACCCACATGTATTGAAGCACTCGTCTTCCATATTCCATCCCGTCTTCGCTAACAAAAAGCAGGAGAGATAACTCGCCCCCGATGTTGTTTTGGTGTTGGGGCCACAGACTTGGACCTTTGATCTCTAGTACCGAGTGATTTGGATGGGTTCGATCTAAATCTGGAGGTGTTTTTTGTGTTTGAGAAAACTGGTACTACTAGTACCATCTATATAGTACCAAACTCCCACGACCTCACAGTGTCTGGAGATCCTCTGGGCCAAATGGCTGGCAGGGGTCCCCAGCGAGGCGAGTTCCCGGCTTCCAACTCACGCGTCACTCCGACATGGTCCAAGGAGGAACGATCCGATTTGATCGATCTTCTCGATGCTTCGCAGGTCTCGATGAGGTGCAATTCTCGATGCTTCGCTGGTAGGAACCTGTTATCCTTTGGCGAGCCACAAATCAAGGGTTAATCGATGGGGCACAGTGGTCTCGATGAGGCCAATTCTTGAAATTGGGTGACCAAAAACGCACACAGGGTCTGGACCTGACAAACCTTATGAGAAAAGCTAAACCCATTCATTCTGAGGGCCATCCACAAACGAATTCTGACTTTCTGACTTCTTGCACCTGAAAATAGCTCTTTTATCTCTTCATGATGAACCATTGGAACGTCACCCTCCTGCTCGCGCGGGCCGTCCTCATCATGCAAGCCCACGCGGCTGCATGCGATGGCACCTCAGATGACGGACCTCTCGACAGGAGGCGAGAGAAGCTCGAGAGTCACTCCCATCGACCACCTGAACCCGTTTGGAGAACCCAACCCAGTTGCGACCCAAAGATCATCCAAATTTGTCGCGCGAACTCTGGAATCCAAATAAATCCAAAGGGTTTCCGGGCGAAGGAGGTGTGACATGGAGAGCAAGAACTCCTCTTCGTTGGAGACTACACTGGGAGACGTTACGACACGTACGACACGCTCGTGTTTTCAAGAGGAACGACCCAGGAAGAGGATCCCTAAATGTCCCTGATGTTATGCATGACCAGTACCCTTAGAGCGGCCCTTTTTCTGGCAGACGTCTCCGTCTCGGTGAGACGGAGTTTTGTAGATCTCTCAGATCTCTCCCATCATCACCTCTGAGGTGCCGCAGTGCTTCTGAGCTCCCCAGCAAAGTGCTTCCCTCACAGATTCGCCCACCGCATCTTTGAGAGTCGACACCCTCAGCCGCCAGTCACCGTTGGAAACGCGTGGAGGAGCGTTTCCGAGTGAAAGCACTAAGAGAGAAAGCTGTGGATCGGCAGATTGACGCCGACCATCCAGTCTTCAGTTACCCCTGAGGGGGAGAGCCAACTCTGATAGGTGCAAATGGGCGGGTTCATGACTCCACTTGAAGAAACCCCTGGGTGACTTGAGATTCAAACCTGTAGACCTTGGGATCAAATCCGTTGGCAAACTCCTGGCCCTTATTGCACTCAGAAGAAGAAGAAGAAACAGCTCAAAGGACCATCCAACGGGTGTCCGATGGACTATCCTACTTGCAGTAGGGATCTCCAGCCAGGACACCCGCTTGATGGTCTAGCTAGGAAGTGTGTTTGCTGAGTAAGCTCTCTAAATCAAGTCTGGAACATGTTCTTCTACCCTGGGTCTTCCACGCAAGGAAAGCCTTAGACTGGGCGACGTCATTGCTCAGAAATGTTCAGAAGTTGAAAAGTAAGCTTGCTCTTCCCAAAGTGTGGAGGAAAGCTATCTATTGTCATCACAGAAACTTTGGCATTCTCCTGTTGAACCCTCACACAAGAACGCCCACCCAAGGTTTACCACTTTTTGACCTGTCCTCCATACGTGTTCCATATCATTCACTGCCCCATGCTAGGCCTTCCAAGTATCTAAGACATGCCTGACTTTGAAGGCTGCTGTCCTTGTTAACCAACACCTGAACGCCTCTGGCTCTGTGTTTTTCGGGATCATCCTGGCTTGGAAGTCGCCCAGTTAAAGGAGGTGAAGAATAATGACAGCCGTTGTGAACAAAAGTCATACACGGATGTGGAGGATAAGGATGCCATGGGGAGAGCATCCACTCACCGCAGGTCGATTCATACCAAAGCAACTTGGAACTACTCCTGGAATAGAGAAGTGGAACCCGAGGGAACCCCCAGACCCCAGTTGTGGACAGGAAATCAACGCAACAGGTTTTGGACCTGACCAGTCTTCTCCACCCAGGAGCGTGGCCGCAATCAGCTCCTTCAAATCACACTGGTCGAGGTTCCTGCGCAACAAAGTAAAAGTAAATCAACATGCAAGGGTCTTGTTTGCCAGGACTCTTTCAAAAAACTACTGTAAGAATATTTAACAAAAACAAACAAACAAACAAACAAACAAACGGTTGTACAACAAGATCATGGAACATCCACCTTTTTGGTAAAGGATGCATCTTCCAGCAATCCCTTTCACCTCGGGGTCGTTGGGTCGTACCCAGCAAGGTCATACGTGAACGGTTCAGATTTGACACCCGTGTCGTGGGGGAAAATGACAGACGTGACATACGGATCCACGAAAGGTCGTGGTGAGAGGCCCGTCGCTTCGTCTTAAAGGTTTCCGCTGCTTCGACCAATCAAAAAAGGTCATCCACGGTGGTCCCAATCCACGGTGGTCCTTCTCGACAGCTGCGCAGCCAAGTGCAACTCCAGTGGGTTCACAGGGCCATCCACACGGCAGCCCAGGCGTTCTTGCAGCTCCTGGATGCAACTCTTGCCGACTCTTGCATCTTGCACAACCCCAAAACGGAATAAGTATATATATATAATAATCAGGATCATTTCGCTTTCAACTCGACTGGTAGCCATACAAACAAAAAAGTCCCCATACCTTGGACGTGAGCAGGCTTCCGGTTCAACCAGCCCTCAACTTGTTTGTTTTCGGGTGCTCTTGGCCGAACGCATATTTGCCACTGCTCTTCCCCTGAGAAGCTTGAGAGGAATGGGGATGCGCGCCAAAGCAGGTCGCCATGTGCAGAAAAACAAAGAGGCTGCCATGTGGCCCTGCATGGACTGTGCGTCCGCTTTGAGAAAGGGGCGCCACGGATTTGGGAAGCTGGAGGCGCAGCGTGAGCAAGTGTGAGCGGCGTGAGCAGCCCAAGACCCTAGATCATTTTGTGATACTGTTGATGGACAAAATCCTTAGTATTTTGTGGCATGTCATCGCCGATGATAGGGAGCCCGCAGGAGGCACCGGGTACGCAAAGAAGGCGAGCTGCTATTGGTTTTGAAGTCTGACGTATGTCCTGGCTTCCTTGATTTTGAGAGTACCTGGTGTTCGAAAGGTGGAGTTGAAGGATTTGGTGCTCTTGGCACCACAGGCAGATATATCGGCTGGGCTGGGCAGTGTTGCCTCTCTCCCCCATCGCAGTCTCTGTTTCCGAGCCGCGTCGAACCAGTCATTGCAAGATCGAAGATCCGTGTTGAGCAACGAAGTTTCATAGCAATGGCAAACTTCCTGGAGAATGATGATCTCCCGGGCAGTTCGTCCCCATTCCTCTCAAGCTTCGGAAAAGCTGAAGACCATCTTCTGAAGGGCTACCACCCAATCAAAACGTCCAAACACGAAGGAGCGTAGATGAGATCCCTCCGCCATTGGTCCTCGGCTGCAAGCTCCATCGCAACACCTTCGCCAAGCCCGGTGTTCAACACCTACGCAACTAGATGTCCGATGGTTTGCGCCGCAGAGAAGCATCCAGGGCGGCGCAAACAACTTGAACTCTCAAACAACTTGTTCTAAGAACTTGGCTGACTCTCCGAGCCGGGGTGTGGGGCGGACGCCTGGCCCTACGCCCTTCTGTTGATCTATTTCCAGCTCCTGCTCCCCAAGGAACATCTCAACCGCCTGGCCCATGTCCTCCGACTCCTGGCGTGCTCCTCTGACTGCTTTGCGGCCCGACGGGCTGATGAGACCCCCAGCTTGCCTTGCCCTTTTCCAAACTGTGGATGTTTTTCCCAATTGTGGCCAAAGGCAAACACCCGGGAGGTTCTGACATAGCGATAACTGACCTCCCCCTGTCAGCAAGAGACCCCGATGTGGCTCTCGTCGTCAGCAACTTGAGAGCACCTATGCAACCTCCAGGTGTTTGAGGAGGCCATCTCTGCGACATTCATCGGAGCACCAGGATCTGGCAGGCTGCAGTGTCGATGGAGAAACACCAACTCCCATTTTCCCGACACCTAGACAGCTGCACTACCTGCTGCCACTCCTGCTGCCATGGAAGAGCTCTAGGACTGGCTCTAGGCTACTCACTCAGCTCTGAGACTGGCTTGGTGTAAGGGAACTTGGACTGATGGCATAATAAAAATACATGGAAATCGCATGAAATCTTCACAGTGGAAATGTACTTGGAAATGTTTATGACTATGCTATGGCTATGCTTCTGATATGCACTAGGACATGACAGACATGACAGCAATGCCACTAGCAATGCCTATGGCAACAGTAGCTGACTCAATGCTGCAGCCATCTCAGCTTCTGAGTTCTATCTATTTTCAAAAGGCGTCGAAGATGGAGTAGCGTACACTTCATGGCTTGCTTTCAGCCTGCGCGAGCCGAGCCGCCGACAGCACGGACGCTGTGAAGAGCTCCTCCGCCGCAGGGCCCTTTAAGCCTTCCAAGCGCAAGCATGCGAAGCCCCGTGGCCTGGCACACGTATGGAACTCGGGCGTCAAACGAAGCGTTCTTCGTTTGATGTAGCCCAGGTGAAAGATGGTGAAAGGTGCTTTAGAGTCACCGTGATGCCTTTTGGAGTGCTCCGTGGTGTGTCTCCTTTTAAGACTCGTGTTGAGAAACTGGAAAATAAAAGTAACAACTGTCTTTTAAAGAGTATATGTTGCAATGCTGTTATGATGCTGCGATAGGGTGTGCTTCCCAAACCTAGCATCATACACCATGATAGTTTGCCTCAACCATACACCATGCTCTTCCACACTCAGGACTTTCCAAGGTGCCATCTCAATTTCGTTCGCGTGGCAATTGCAGTGGCCAATTTGTTTGAGGACTCTCTCCCCTGCCGCTGCTCGTAGCTTGCTCGTAGCTTTTGGGCCTTTTCCCGCATCAAAAGCCCCAAGACAAAGCTTGTGTTTGTGTTTTCTCTTCTCTCAGCACCCCTGTGGGGGTCCATTCCCCCTCATGAGACGAGCGGCGCTGGCGTGTCAGTGCGTGGAGCCATTACACAGCCTGAGCTCGGCGTGCGGTGAAGCACCTAAGCACCTTTGTACACACTGATTTCGTGGATGGCATGACACCGACTTCAGTTGAAATCCGAAGAGCAAACATGTGGTTTTCACTCACTCCACTTCCATGATGTCTTCGGCATGTAGATCTGTTGAATCAAACCCCCATCTCCAGAATGGCCTTAGATCTCCATATGGTGTTCTTGGCGTTTCATCAACTTGCCATGACCGGCTTGTCTCAACTTGCGAGGGGCTGAGACCCACCCACCGTCCGGTCGTGTCGAAACGGACGGTACTTTGGTATCCTCACTCCGCCAAGCCAACCCGCGTATGACTGGATCTTTCTCAGCCTGGTTTCATGGATTCATCGTCCGTCATCGGGGAGACTCTCTCTCTCTCTCTCGACTCAGAAACTGGTGAGAAACGACAACAACAACAACAACAACAGCAACAGCAACAGCAACAGCAACAACAACAACACGTCAGAAATGTCCGCTTTCTTCGATTGGCCAGACTGGTGCAAGTCCGGAAGACGTTCCAATCTCCCCGGCAAATCAGACAAATGTTTGGGGAGACCAAATGGATCGGTTGCCGTCAACTCACCTTCTTTACAAGAGGGAGGATGTGCGTACAACGTCCAGGCGACGAACTCGAGAAGGGACCTTGACAGGACCAAACACCTGATCCTGTCTGATCCTCACGAAGAATGACCTTCCATCAGAGACGATTTCCTTTAGAAACTGAGATATTCCACTTCCATGAAAGTCGAAGATCTGGAAGTGTTCAGCTCAGCTCAGCTCAAGATCATCACCTCTAGCAGTCTTGCGCCGCAACGCCGCGCGCCCAGTCCTCGTGGCTTGGGGAACTCTTCGAAGTAGCAGTTCTCTTTTTAAGTTAACCTATAGCGATGGCCTCCACCCTACTAACGATGGCCTCCACCCTCCTAGTTCTCTTTTCAAGGTCGCCTGCCCACCCATCCACCAAACCCCAAGATACCATGACTACGTCAAACGAAAATACAACTCTCCTCGTGGCTCGTCCCACGTCCTCGAGAGCTAAACAACTCCTTCAGGTCCCAGTGATCCTTCCTCTGAACCCCCAACCACCGAACAAGGGGGCCATCTGAACCGAGCAACGCACACCTGGTGGTAAGGGAACCAGCAGCCACGGGGCCACCTGTCTTTCGTCGCCAAGGGGCAAATGCTTCTGCTGAAGACGGGGGGGTTTTCAAACCCTTCCAGTTGGCAGGCCACTGACGGGGTAGACAAACCGGATCGTCCTTTTGGTGGCACCTCCGCCGACCGGATGTAGGTGCGTAGCTCAAATAGAAAGACCTTCCCAATGAAAAGACACACTCAAATGAACCCATTTGTCCTGTTGATGTGTTGTCGTGAGCTCTTTGATTCCAAAGCCCATCTCTACCAAAGAGGTGGGCCCATCCCCATCCGTGGGGTGAGCCCATGTGGCTCAATCCAATCAGTTTGTTGCTGATGTTGATTTGCAATCAAGCTGCCAATAAAGTCTACTTGCTTATCGGCATAAACATGGTGGACAATACTGTTTTTTGTTTGTGCGCCACTGCACCAAACATGTTGTTACACTATCGGTTCTCGCGGCCGGCACCGCCCTGGGCCCGAGCTCGACCCTATCGCGCTAAAACGGGAGTTGGATCGATCCAATCAGCTCAGCCGCAGTCTTGAAGGAACTGCGACCTTTTCGCAGAGACCAGGGGTCTTCAGACGCTTCGTGTTCGGCCTCCAGGAGACCGACGAGTCGGAGGGGGTCCCCGTGTCGTCCCGTGTTGGAGAACCGCCGTTCGTGAAAACCCAACGCAAAGCACCTCCGTGTCGTCCAAGAAAAGCACCACTCCACCTGCCCTGGAGCGCACGACAGGGCACGACCGAGGCCCAAATGGCTTGCGGACCGAGGAACATGATGGAAAGTGTATTGGACCATTGTGGCTGGCATGAGGCAAAACATGGAATCATGGAATTCACCACAGTGGCTGCTGATCAGAGCTATCTTGAGGAAGTGGGCCTGGTTACCACAAAACCTCATGACCTTACCCCAAAGGGTTGGGTTTGTTTCAACCTGGGCAAGCCTCAATTTCAGAAGACCTGGAGGATTAAGATGCTTTAACATCCCAGACCTTTCGTTTGGACATCTCCCGTGTTCAGGCCGAAGTCCTAAAGGTCAAACAGTCAAAGTACCCAGAGTAGGCCAGGCTACACAAACTCAAGCAGCTCGTTGGATGAGAAGATTTAGGATTGGTTGGGTCTTGACTTGATAGAGGGGATCTACTGAATTGAGGATCAAGTATCCAAAATATGATCTTTTCCTATCAAAACAGAGGTCAGTCAGGCTCTAGGTATATATATATATTTATAGCTATTAGCTATTGATAGGATCTGACAGGCCTAAAACAGAGTCCTGATTGGACAATCTCAGAGCTCTCCGACGCTGGGGAGTCACAAGACGTGATGAATAAGCAGGTCAACTCAGTCTGTAAGTATCTCTTTTTGTCAGGGCATAGCAAACACATCAAAAAATTAACAACTCTGATTCCACAAGCAGTTCCACGTTCGGGATGGCGAATCGCGGAGGTGCCTGGAATGCCCCCTGATGCACTGACAGGATGCCCATCACCATGATTGTGATCGATCTCCTGGAATTAAGAAGAACTATCATGTTGTGGGGGAGACCAACCGCTGGGAGGTCCATTCTTGTTGTTCACCTTTTGAGCGGTGGAACCAATCAGCCGACGTCAGAATCAAAAAAAGAACGACGTGTTTGAAAGAAGCGTCGTGAAGCAGGCGGGGTCATCCTCTTTTCTGAAGCGGAGTAGGCCCAGCGCGGTCATCCCGAAGCGGAAGCGATTCGGAGCGATGTTCGGATCGAAGGACCTGCCAGCATTGCTGATGACCGGCATCAGCAGCAGCTCTTCATCGGTGACCTGCAAGGGATCTTCCAGCGAAGAGCAGGGGCGCCAGCATGTTGCAGGGCTCTCCAGGAGTTGTTTGAAGGAACAACGGCATTCAGGGTGGCCAATATCTGTGTGTTCCCCTGTCTCACTCTATACTTTTTATTAGGATCTGACTCAAGTTGCACCGGCCAGCGAGTGCAACGGAAGAACGTCATAGTGGTTCACGGCCCACCCTCAATCCGAAATGGGCTCGCCCTCGATAGGGATCGGTCCACTCCTTTTGGCACTGGATCAAGAGCTGGGCACAACTCACCAGAGAAGTCGATGGGTTCTTCGTTTGAGTGTGTCTTTTCATAGCGACACACATTTTCGGCACCCAACAAATGGGTAGGAGGTCTTTGGGAGGTCTCCCAATTTTGCTACAAAGCCATTTGGTTCCAGAGTTATTCCAAGAGCGCAACCGACGCCGATGCAACCGACGTTGTATGTCCCTCAAGCCTCTTCAAACACCAAGACTGGGAGATGGATGGTGTCAACCACTGTCCCTTTGCCTATGCGGGATTCCACGCCAAGACTTCAGCATGTCCGGAGTGGCCACTTGTCAGCCACTTCTTCAGCTCTCAGTCCGAGAGCTTTCGGTTTCAGCCGCTGGTGGCTGGACGATGCCATCCCGAAGCTCCGGCCTCGTCGATGCCATCCTGGTGGCCGGTTTTGGCGCGGGCTTGCGCTTGCGCATGCTTCGGCAGCTGAACATCTAGAGAACAAACCCAGTCAACTCTGGAAACGAGTCATTTTCATGATTGTCCTGTGGCACAAATGATGGTGCCAGGTGCCCAAAATGGTGCCAGGTGCTGAAATGGAAGATGTGCAAGCTTGGGGGCCATCGGTGTTTGGGTAGATTTAGTAGACCATAGTAGACCTATTGAGTGCTGTGACATGGGAGAGGCCTTGTTGGAAAGACCACGAAAGATCTTCTGTCATCCACGCAAGCACAAAACCGGGGGTGCGAGGTCCGTTTTGCAAGTAGCTCTCTTTTTAGGACTTTATTGATGAAGCACAGGCACAGGCATATATTAGTGTTCTAGAATATCAAAAATGTTGCTAATCAATGTCTTGTCATGTCTTTTCCCTCTGCACCTTTTTTCCTGGGGGTCAGGTGAGACACGTGAAGAGTCTCTAAGCTGGTTAGCAACTCAAGACCCTGAGATGGTAAAAGCCCAACCGTTGGCAAGAGATGACAATAAAATCAACAAATACTGTAATATAAGTATTACAGTAAAACAACATAAAGGAACGTATATCGTCGTGTATCATGTTGTGCTGATTTGCAAATCCACAACTTCTTCCTGATCGCCTTTTGATCGAGGAATCTGCATTCAGCGGGTCGAGGCTCTGCTTTCTCCCGCCCTCCACGACTCCTGACCGACCCTCCATCCGCCACGCGGCATAGAGACGTCTCAGTAGGCGCTCGCCGCTCCCTCGGTGAAGGAGCACCCGCAAGCCGGGCAACTGCTCGGCGGTGCGGGCAGCGGCCTAGTGGAGGTTTCTTGCGACGAACGGCGGAACTGATTGGTACCATGTTTCTTTCTGAGAACCCCCGAACAATAGCACCTAGCCGCTAAGGTGACTCAAATCTGAGGGAATCTTGAGGGAATTTTGCAGACGGTAAACTGAAGGCTCGAAATGGTAAGGCAATCCTGCAGCTTGAGCTACTATAGGATCTGGGACGGCACATCCCCTCCCCACCACGAACGCGATGGTACCAGGCTTTATGGAAGAACATGCTTCCGCAAGATTTTCATGTTTGGGGCGCAAGAGATAGGAGTCCCGCAGCGCAAGCCATGCGGAAGTCCCTATGGAAGTCCCGCAGGCACCAAACCTGACTGGAGAGTGCAAGTACGAGGAGGTCATGACGGTCACGATTCAGGGAGCCAAGTAGCATGCCTCTGCAAAGCCAAGTGGGCCAAGTAGCATGGCAGGTGTGTGTTTTGAGTAGGATCCTTGGGACAAAGCCTGGTTTCGCCGGTTCTATATGGCTACAGGGCCGCCAGGTTCGCCGCCTGCAGCAAAGCAGAGCGCCCCACTCCAGGGCTACCTGGCACTGGTGGACTTGGAGCGGATGGCTTCACAAGTAGCGACCACGAGTAGAGATGAAATACAAGTATAGAAGTAGACTACTTGGGAGATGAAATACAAGAGATTTCTCTACTTGGGGCATCCAGAGATGAAATACAAGTCTGTCTGCCATTCGATGCATTCCTTCCGCAAGTCTCGCCGAGTCTCGCGGACCAACTCGCGACACATTTCGTCATACTTCGTCTCCAGAGTCCCCTTTCTGCCGAACCGGGACCCTTGCATCACAATGGGCCCTCACCTTCCACGATCAAGGGCGGCAGTTGCTTCTGCGCCAAAAAGCTTTGTACACTCCTGGGGGACGTCGAGGTCGACGCTGCGTCGTTTCGGTCACGAAGGGAAAACCGCGACGGACCACCGCAGGCCGTTGACCGCGCTCCCTCCGAGTCGGTGGACCCCGGGTGCCACTTCCGGAGCCCCGGAGGTCGGCGAGAAAAGGACCAACCACGGACGACCGCGCTACGACTGGACACCCGCTGAAGGAAGTCGCCCACGACTCAGTCGGAACCAGTTTCGGGGGGCGGACTCAGTGAGTGCGGAACAAGGTCGCCAATGGGTTTCTTGGCAGTTCTGTATCTTCAAAGGCTCTAAGAATGCGAAGACCTGTAAAGTACCAAGTTCACACCTCACAAGCAAGCTCATGCAACTGGAAACGCTTTCATACGTCTGCTTCTACACTATGTGTTTGCCTAGTCCAATGCATTCACACATACAGTCAGTATATAGATCTGTCTACTACCTAGAAACCAAAACCACCAGGAACAAGTGGATGTTTGCCCCGGTTCCCCAGTCCTAGTTATTTCCTATGTCAAGGATTTCAAGCTGGCGCCGATCATATTGGAACCAGAACTGTTTCCGGTTGGGACCGGGCGAAACCAGGTCTATACCGGTCGCTTGCCGGACGGACCGTCTCGGACCGTGTCTCGGACCGTGTCCTTTTTCGCATCAGTGGCCGGTGGCCGACATGTTTGGCCGGTCGTCTGGGCATGTTTGGCCCATGCAAGTATGGAGTGTCCATGTTGTGAAGCTGACCCGCAGGTCAGAAATAGACATCAGTTCATCAGTTCAATGATGTTCAAAGATGTTCAATGGAAGGTATCTGCTCTTGGCTGACTTTGGACACAACCATTTCAAAGAACACCACCCCTCTTTGCCGGAACGCAACAGATTTGACCCATGACTCTCTCCAAGAGCATGGCAAGTTTGCCCCAGCTCGTCTACGAATGCCAAAACGGAGCTTCTCAACTGCTGTCAAACCCCATTTGCATGATCGACCGTCAATATGCATGGACATTAAACATGACCTTTTGAACTCACTCACTTTGCCTTCGTTCCGTCTTGACTTTCTCGTTCGTGCCCGTGGAGGCTGCTATTCAGCCCTTTGCATCAGAGACGGTCTGTGTGATTGTCCTCATCCGTGTGGTTGTCCTCATCCGTGTGGTTGTCATGATCGTCATGATCGTCATGATCGTCATCATGGTCTTCATGATCATCATCATCATGATCGGGGACCCCGTCTCCATCGTGGTCGTGCGGGTCAGCATCTGTGACAGGGTTTGTCTCCTCACGGCAGCCTTGCAATAGACCAGAGAACACAGCCGCCATCAAGACTAGCAAGACTCGGAGGTTCATAGCCTTGGTATATAATGCAACCAACTCACATGTACCGATCGAAAATAATTTTGAGATTCTCGGCTAGTTCGCAGGTACTTCTGGGCAGACGAGCGAGACTAAAATAGAAATCAAGAGACCTTACCTGGAAGGTTTGCTATAAAAAAAGAAAAAAAAATAGCGTGGACAAATACCAGCACCTGACTTCACAGGTCACCACCTGCCACTTTTTAAGTGATCCATTTCAGATCATTTCAAACACCCTTTCGGAGACCTGTCTATCGGGTGCTGTCTCGTTTCGGTCCAAGTTGAACAGCTCAGCGTCTTCGTCCGGCGATCCGCCAGCGTCGATGTCACAAATCCCAACCGGTCAATTGACACACGCTGCGGAAAGCAGGTCTGAACGGATTGGAATGATCAAGCTTGTGAAGAAACCCATGTGATCAGTAGTAAACAGTAGGAAGTAGAAGCGCCAGCTAGTGATGCCTCCTTGGGTTGGAGCAAGCTAGTCAAGTGTATGCATGTGCGCAAGTCTGACTTGTGCAACAGCACTTTGATCATCTTTGATCAACGTCCACTGCAGTGGCATGTGCAAACCATTTTGCCAAGTCGACAGTATCAGTAAGGCCTGCTCTTTGGACAGGGAAAAGTGCCAAGAAAATGCAAAAAGAATGGGTGTGCCTTTGTTGTGAATCTATCTGAACCATTCTGAAACCCCCTGTTGAGCTTGTCTCTAGAGTCTAGACTGTCTATGGTTCAGAGACCTGACTCTGTAGGCATAACCATTTAGAACGCCACCCCTCGGCTGCCGGAACGCAACAGGTTTGACTGTACAAACCCATGACTCTCTCCAAGAACATGGCCTGTTGGGTTGCTCCAGCTATAGTGTACCAAGAAGAGAAGAGGACTTGAAATGCTATGCCGGCCGCCGGAGTTTCTCAACGGCTGTCAAACCAAACCAGTACAAAGAAACAGGCTTCAACTTGAAGATCAATACAAAATGGACATTGAACACTACTGTTGAACTATACTATAATACAACTTACTTTGCCAGTCTTGGCATCTCGTTCTTCAAGTCCACTCAGAGGCTGCTATTCAGCCCTTTGCTTCAGAGCGTGTGATTGTCCTCGTCCGTGTGATTGTCCTCGTCCGTGTGATTGTCGTGGTCGTCCGTGTGGTTGTCATGATCGTCATCATGGTCATCATGGTCATCATGGTCATCATCGACGTGATTGTCATCATCGTGATCCGGGACCCCATCG